GGTGCTCTTTCTTGAACAGGTTATGGAAGAGAGACAAAGGCCTCCTGAAATTGATGGAAATCCTTAGGGCGAAGTCCTTTTTGCCTTTTGCTCATTTATGTCACATTCTTCCATCGGGCTGGGCCACGGACAGGTGCACCCCTCCCGGGCCCCTTCAGAGTCCCCTCCCTGGCGTTGGTGTCTCCCTCTGATATCCAGCAGACAGTGTCCTCCCCAGGAGTCAAATATGATTAGCAGAAACCCTCCTGACAGCTCCAAAGAGAACCCCTCCAATGCATATTCTATTGAGTGCATCTCACGGCGGCTGACAGCCGCTTTATCAATTAAATTCCACATTCCCAGTCTTCAGAGACGCCACGAACCTCCCTCCCTAATAAATCACAGGCCCCCAGTTATTGTTAAACGTCCCATCAGTCTCTAATAAAATCCCTGCCAACAGGGCCAGGTTATTTATTATGCCGCCTGGACGAGAATGAATCGGGCCCCGTTCTCACACGGAGAAGAGCAAACGTGCCGCCTCCCTCCCTAAAGACTGAGGCTCTGATAGTAAATGGGGCAATTAATCAATGTGGGCCTGGAGAGAGGGAAGATGGCCTGGGGCTCTTCCCTGATACCAGCCGGGCAAATCGCCATGGCGAGAGCTGGCTCACAGAGCACAGGGGCCCCGCCTTCGCTGTGCCTCCCCTTCTCTGAATTCCCAGGTGAAAAGTTACTTAAGGCTGGTCACCCTCTAGGCCGTGGGACACAAGACAGTTTTCTCGCCCTGGCCGGTGTTGCTCAGCGGTTGAGTGTCGTCCCATGCACCAGGAGGTTGCAGGTTCCATTCCTGGTCAGGGCACATGCTTGGGTTGTGGGCTCAACCCCCAGCAGGGGGCGTGCAGGAGGCAGCCAATTGATGTTTCTAACGGATGTTTCGCTCTCTCTCCCCCCCTCACCCTTTGTCTTTCTCTCTCTAAAATTAATAAAAACATATATTTTTAAAAAGACAGTTTTCTCCATGTCGGGAGATAGCCACTTAGGATTAAGCAGGGTCCTGAAATCATAAATTCTGTTCCAGAAGACCAGGTATTAGTACTTGACAAACTTGATGTAATAAATTTCTTGAGAGTGCTAGTCCATGAATAAATGAACTGAATGAAGAATGAATACAGGAGGGAAAGGGCTTGGAAACACATGCTCAGTCACTGCTCGCTGGCTATGCCTCGTGCAGGTCGCCCTGGCACCCAGAAAGCAATGTACTCACAACTACAAGCCCCAGGAGCTGTTAGGAGCAAAGCCGGCCTTGAAGTCACCCTCCAGGACTGGTTCCCCAGCTCACGTGATGCTCCAAACTCTCCCCCTTGGCCGTCAATCAAGTCCCACTCGACATTTCTACCTGTATTTCTCTTTGTTGCCATATAACACTAGCCCCCTTTCTGAGAGCACGACACGCTCATTTGACATTGGTTACGGTGGCAGACAAGGTCCCCGGGTAAGGCGGGACGGGTCTCTCTGCAGCCTCGTTTCCTGGTAACAGCTGTCATGCTCGCCGCCCTTCGCACAGAAGGTCTTGCCTTCCCGAAACGACTGTGGTTTCTCCTGCTTCCACGCCTTTGCACAAACTGTTCCCTTTGCCCAGAATATCTTCCAATGTGTCTGCCTGGCGAGCTCTCCTCCCACCCTCGCTGCCTGGTGAACTCCTTACCTGTGCTTCAGGATCCGCGGAGAAAATCAGCCCCAGGGCTTCAGGGGTCTTGAGCTTTGTCAATCCCGGTGCTGCGGTCTTGGCCTAAATGCTAGACTCTGGGGATTGGGGGAGGAAGGCTCTGTGCTTGGGGTTTTTCTCAGTTCCATGCACACACGAAACCATTTTGGTTTGGGGTGGGGATGAGAAGGGCATAGAGAAGAAAGCTATTGCTGTTTGCCTCAGTTTCTCAGAAGTTTCTCCTCTCCCCCGCATGACGGCCGCAAGAGCAACGCAGGCCCCGAAAAAATGTCCTGCGTACGGTTCCACACCGCCCTCTGCTACTTGCACATTTCCTCCTTCATCAGTGCCTCCTGTGTGCCCGTATCTTTCTCCTTGGAGGGCAAGGACTCTATTCTGTCCTATTTTTGTGTCTCCAGCATTTGGCCGATTCATATGAGGTGTGCAGAAGATTTTTGTGGAAAGAATGAATAGAGATGTTTGTGGATTGAATGCAAATAATAATGTTGCCTACCCTTGGTTGCTTTGAGTGTCAAATGAGAAAAAGTGGCTATAAAAACTTAGTTCCTTCCCTTCTTTTCACATTTTCCCACAGATCCTCAGGCCTGGGGTGGGGGTGGGGGGTATGTCCATGCCTTTATTTACTTTTTCTTTCCCCTTGGGCACAGAAACCTCCACTGCGGAGGAATGAATGGATGGGACCATCTGAGCCTGAACATTCATTCTGTGGCTGAGTCTTACTCCCACTTCTTCAGGTCACAGGAATCTCCCCTTCTTCCAGCTCCCGGGTATCTGAGATGAGACAGACTTTCCCGGCAGAAGGAATAGCATAAAAAGAGGCCGCGGGGTCCCGTTGTGATGTTATTCTCGGGGTGACCAGGAGGCAGACACCAGTCCAAATGGTTTGTGTGCATGTTACCCTCAGGCCTTTCCTATTCAGTGGTCTCTTACCTTTGTGTTTTATCTTTACAGCGCTAAAATTTGCGATCGACCCCATTATTGCAATTTTTAGCTACTGAGGAAAACACTGTATTGATTTGTGTTTTTAGCTATAGCAATGTAATTTATTTTCAGCAACGCTACTGCAACATTGTGTCATAACCCGCAAATGCACTAACAGAATGCTGTTAAAACCATAAGTGTTCTTTTCTGGAAAAAGTCTTTTTGTTTCTTTCGGTATGAGAGCTGGTTCTTCCCCAGTGATGGGTTTGAGTTCTCCAGACCACTCCTGTGGGCATGGAGACCAGCAGGGATTCCCCAGCCACTCAATCAGTGTTTATTACGTCCCCTGAGGGCCTGGTGCTGGGCTGGGGAGCCTGGGGTGACAAACATTCTCTTCATTGAGAAGCTCATAGTTGATTTATTGGGAGGGACAGACATGTAAACAAGGAACAAGAACACAGTAAGAGACTGGAATTATCTGCAGTGTGAAAGGGGAGCTTGGGGTGGGAAAGGTGGACCTAAAGGAGCGGGAATCTGGCTCGCCACTGTGCATGCATGCCCACACCCACACGCACCCGCAATTCAAATTTAATGACCAGGATCGTGATAGGACAAAGGAAAAAGTTGGGGTCGGATGCAGAATTTAAGTTTGCAATCGCGAGTTAAGATTAGGCTGCAGAAATGGAATGATGACTCACCTTCGTTATAGGAAGTCACTTCTTCAATAAATATTGAGCATTTACTACGGGTCAGATTGTTTCTTTCCCACTAGGGACACAGCAGACAACAGGACAGACTAGGTCTCTGTCCTCAGAGTGGGGGCGACACCCTGCGCGCAGGTCATCTCAGGCAGTGACAGGGGCCACGAGGAACAGCAGAGCGGACGAGGGAACAGAGTGATGGGAAAGGAAAGGGGCCGGCAGGACGGGGGGCTAACTCGGGGTGTTCGGAAAGGCCTCTTGAAAAGGTGACATCTGAGCGGAGACCTAACGCGAGGAAGCTGGTGAAACACTAAGTCACCGCCCGCGAGGCGGGGGCGGGGAGGGGTCGGAGCCACTCCCGGGAGACCCGCTAACGCCGGGAACCCGCCGGGCGCCGGAGGGGCGGAGGGCGCGGCCCGCAGCTC